ATTTAAACAATATTAAAATATTGATTATAACAAAAGTTATTACATTATTCAGTTCTTTCCGTTACATCCTGTATATAATTTAGGAAAAACTTATATGGACACCTAATAATATGTCGAATACATTTTGTTTTCCGTTTTTAGTGACTTAGTTTTGATTACTCTAAAATTATTATCTCATATAAACGATCAATAATGTAGCTACTACCTAGTCAATACTATAAAAGTTGTTATTTCTATATAATACGAGTATATACTTATATATTAGAATTATATACTACTGTGTATACTTAAAATAATTACTAAGCTCAAGACATACCTATATACAACAAACATAATTATAAATTCTCACAAATGATATAATATGCTCTAATTTGGGTCATTCCCCAGATAAATGACGCCCATAAAAATTATTTCAAACTGTCTTACCAAAATTAATAATTGCTATGACACCTATCATCATCACTGGTTTTGCTATTTTCATGTTTTATGGATTTAATTTCTAATATGCTTATCTTATGAATGGAATTGAACGACAATTGTCTATTTAGTCTTTTTCTCCTCGCATAAACCGAGTAAAAACGAACATTTCTAAACCAAAGAAGTGGTATAACTTGTTTGCTTCAATCAGAATCTAAAGTAAGGATAGATTATTATTAACATCACAACTACAAATATAATTATTTTGTTGATTTAAATCTGAGACGAATTCTACGAAACAAATTTATACTTATATCTAATATTGATGGTTGTATTAAAATATTTGATAAATAATTATTATTTTAATATTCTAGAAATGTATTACCTACTTAATATTTTATTCTCGTAAAATTATTTTATTTACATATTAAAAATGCGATGAATTTTCAAAATACTTGTATTATATATCTATGTCTCATACACTATATTTTCATAAGCCAAATACCAATAAGTAAATATAATTTACAACTATCTCTACGTTTATTCAGTTCTCTCCATTTATTTCAGTACTTAAGTTTTATATTCCTGCCACAGACGTGTTCTTTAAACTTTAATAAATACTCTCGATATATTTATTTTTACTTTTCTACGTTTTTTCAAAATACGTCACTGAAATACTTTTCTTTTAACGATGGCAAACATCAATCTCCTTTTTAATCACGAATCAGTCAAATCGATACTGCACATCTATGAAACATCGAGTAACAGGTGTAAGTAAAATAAATCATGCCCCGACATAAACATTATTAACTAGATATCGAAAATCACCCGATAAAATATACATATTTAAACAGTATTTATATTATAAGAATTTATCAATTAACGTATTATCATATAACGATAAAAAATGAACTCGATGATATTATTTCAGATACAAAATATGTTCTTTTTTAAAAATGATTAATTTTAAGACACATTTTTAACTCTATTTTGTTGAAATAATTAAAATCAAAATCAAAAAGACTAATGTTATCTACATCCTTTATTAAACGTTCAAAATTATAATTCATATTATCTCTAAAATCATTTGCTAACTATGATTTAACAAACTAGGAACTTAATCGATTAAGTGGCTTAAGAATATTATAACCTATCATATTTCATAGTTTTATTTGCATGATAGTTTAAAACTCCTAAAGTTCAGTAAGTATTTCTTTTCTTTTATATCTTAACCCTCTATTAACTATTTATCACTAATTTAAAGTGATTTATGCATCGTCTATATATTATTATAACATATATTTTATAAATAATTTAAATACTACCTATGTAGTCTGAACGTTTGTCCGTTAAGAAAAATCTATTCTTTTGAGCTCTTGTATATATTTAAATTGAATAAATCAATAGTTTTCAGTCACATAATTTAAATTTAGATTAAAAGTTCATTATACCGTTTTAAATTTTAATGGTTCATAATAATCTTCTATTCAATGAAAAGCTTATTTTGGTATAATGTACATATTATAATACAGTTTTAATCTTTATAATTAATACTAATGTTATCTCTGTCCTGAACGAATTTAACTTATTTAAAAGAGTTTCTGCACAACTAACAATACACATAAAATAACCAGACGAAAATCATTTAAAATACTACAAGTTCAAAGTTGGCATTTTCAATTTCAGCAGAATTTTTTTTTTATTTTAGAACTGTTGAATTGCGCGATAAACAAAGAATGAGCTAACATTGCAATTTTTCATTTCGTTGTATCTATTGTTCTAAATAACGTTAGACAATTTAAATATTTTAAATCATTGGTAAATCTGAAAGAATATTAAACATAATATTATTCTATACTTAAAAAACATTCACGTAAACAATTTGTTTGTGTTGCGAAACTCCGTTAGATTTTGGTTATATTTTTGCTAAACTCATGTTAGCCTGCAAACAAATGTATATGTATTTCGATACTGGTTATAATAATATTAAATCCCCAACGAAAACGCAGCATGAAGGACTTATGGATCGCTTACGATTATCGAAAAATCTCTTTTTTTCTATATCCTGCAATGGTCATGTCATTATCGTAGGATTATTATTTCTCAGTTTTTAAATGGAATTCATCTGTTGCAGTTGTCATTATTATTATTATTATATATATTATTATCACAATTTGGCAGGCAGCTTTCGAATATATATCACCTTCGTCGTCCGTTTCATTCTAACTGATATATATAATATATATAATACCTATTAACTTTTAAACGGTGGTAGGCGTAAATCACCTTTGTACATATTATAACCAACGAAAATCATCAGTGATTTTTGATGACGGCTTAATTTTTTTTTTCGCAGCATAGTATGTGTATAATATGTTTTGAATAAAATAAAAACCGAAGCAGCCACTCTCATAGTCTTATGTATTTAGTGTAATAGGTGTCAAATGTACCTCATCTTTGACTATGTCACTGTAGTGGATAGCATGTGTTAAATATATGAAATCAATATTGATATACTTTATCACTGTATATAGACATATAGTGTAGGTACCAAAGTCATGGAAAGGCATGTTTTTTTTTGAGCCACGGCGCCGATGATATATTTTAGGGGTGGTGGTGGTAGTGGTGGTGGTTGATTTGTAAAGTATATTGCTTCTAAATTATGAGCTCGAGAGTTGAGATATCATCAAATGTTGGTATACATCCTGTTGTACGTGTAGTGGGTGGATGGATAAAATATATTTGGCTACTTTAATTAAAATTGTTCACCACGTCACTGGTAGGTACACGAAAAATGATTCTGAGCAATCTGAGGAGATACGCAGTTTCACGTATATTTTATATTTTATATTTTTCTATAAATAATACGGTAGACTAAAATAATATTATAAACGATTCATCGTGTATATGTAAATTATATGAAAAGTTTCAAGTCTATATACGAATAATATTTTTTGAATTACAACATAATTAAAACCGTTTTTTTTTTGTCTAAACATCCAATTTCGTAAATATTTACGATATTTCATTGTGATCAGGACAACATTGTGGTACATTGTGAATAGTACCTATTACTATTAGAAACTTCATATTATATTAAACTCAAGCTTTCGAAATCACAAACATAAATTTCATAAATCGTACAAAACTAAAAAAAAGCCGACCAGATCAAATTTTTTACCAGAAACCCCTTTAAGAGCTGGAGATTAAAGCATTTTTACTGCTCCGAACTCAGAAATTTGACATCAGACACAAAAACACACACACACGCGCACATAATTGGAAAACCAATACATTCATTGCTCCTCTCAGAATCTAATAAACGAGTACGAAGCACTTTTATTGCTACGAAAGGCGAAAGTCGACGGCAAACACAAAAAAAATAACATATGTATGGAAAACCGATAGGTACATTGGTATATACGTATAAAGGAATATTAAAACGTTTATATAATATTTTATAATAAACACATTATACATGAATCTGCTCTTTATAAGTACCTGTAATAATATTATAATCACGATTTATAAAAACAAAAAACCGGGAAAGTCACCGTGTTGTACACATTTCGTAGGTGTCTAATATAATACAACTCGTCATTAAGTACTATGACAATAATATGTCACAGTACTGTATAATATGTGTTAAATATGAACTCAATGATAATAAAATGTTATATCAATAAGTATATAAAATGTAATTGTCAGAGACATAGTCGTTTTTCATTAAAATAATCGATTTCGTAAATAATTTTATACGATAATAATTATAAGACATAGATTATAAAACAGGGAAAATTGCATAAATTATTACATTTTGAACTTGCAAACAAATATTTCATTTTTGAATTAACAACTTTGTTTGCTTAAGAAAGAACAATGTAAAATAATTATGCTAAACCGTAATACCGTATATGTAGGTATAGTTATTATTGTCAAGTGAAACGTAAATCGAATTCGTTGACCTTGTACAATGATTATTACAACTACTAAAACCATTGAAATTAATTCAGATAAATCTATATATTATTACCGTTTAATAAACCGAACAAGAACATCAATTCCGATATCATTCCTAATTGGGTAACTTGCAAATTATAAGAGTCTCTATCAATAGACAGATTAACAGAACTCTGGTATTACAAATGATTAATCTTAGAAATTTGAACTGTACATTTTCAACCTGATTTGTACCTACCTATATAAAGAACAGAAATATTAGTGTTCAACATCATTGAGCCAAATTCTAGATGATACCTAGAACATGTGAAAAGTCTTACAATATTTTCAGAGTTAATATTTCTGAAATTGTCTTAGTAATTCTATAAATAAAACCTAATAACGTTTTGAAACCTAATTTAATATCAATAACAATAACAATATGATGGCGAGTACGGCGATTTATAATATTTATTGTTATTGTTACAGAATCCATGAGATGTTCGCTCAACGTTTCCGGTCCGACCCAGTGTTCGACGGAACCGCCGCCTGCGACGCCTCCATCGCTGCGGTCACGTCGGGCGACTGACGGCCGAATCGCCTAAGGCGGTGGCGGCGGCGGCGACTGCTGCTGCTGCATCGCCATGGACCGGACGCCGTCGTGCTGTTCGCAACCGGTGGCCGCGGCGGCGGCCGTGTACAACTACGGTGTGGCCGGTGCGACGATCGGCGGTTACGCTACGTCGTACGACGGCCACCCGCTGTCCACGTCGTCGTCGTCGGCGGTCGGCGTGACGACGGCGGTGGACGACGGCCAAGGGTGTTTCTGTTGCGACAGCGACGACGACAGCGTGGAACGGGCCCGCGTGGCCCACGCCAAGCGCAAGTGCTACAAGAGCTGCCTGCGGAACGCGTTCGTGTGCGCCCTGCTAGTGTCGTACACGTTCGCCGGTGCGCTGATATTCCTCAGCATCGAGGGTGACGTGGACGCCGACGCGTTGGACGCGGAAGACGGCGGTGGCGGCGGCGGCAGTCCCGTCCGACTGGCCGGCCTGATGCCCGCCCAACAGCAGAACCTGACGGCCGCCTGGCTGGCCGCTGCGGCCGCGGGCGAAGAGAGTCGCGCCCGGACCGTGGAGACCATATGGGAGATCACGGTCAACTTGAACATACTGTACCGGGAGAACTGGACCCGGTTGGCCGCACAGGAACTGAACCGGTTCCAGGAGGACCTGATACGCCGCCTCACGCAGCAGATGGAAATCGAATCGGCCGCGGTCAGCTATCACACCAGTGCCGGCGGCGGTGGCTTCATCGTCGACCACGGCGGTGACTCGGTGGACAGCACCTTCGAATGGAACATGGCCACGTCGTTCCTGTACTGCCTGTCCATACTCACCACGATCGGTAAGTCCACAAAACGTATATTCGGTTAGGTATAATATTATCGTTACTATTACAAAATTGTAGTAACGTACGGATACCCGCCATTGTTACCACAGGTAACAGGGGCGGGATTTATTTTTTACTGTCTGTGGGGGGAGGGGGCAGGAGTGAAGAGTTTTGAGAATTTGGCTATTTTGTTTGATGTCGATGTCCAACGCGACCAACGATTACGTAATGTTTTTTATTCGTAGAATATGATTTGCAAAAATATTTTAAGAAATAATAAAAAAAGGGGGGAAGTAGGTAACTGCTTGGCTGTACTGAAGTAGGTGTCGAGTGTACCTTGTCATTGAGTAGTTCACTGTAATTTATGTCTTATATTTGAATTCAATGATAAATCTTGGCACACGAAAAATGATTCTGAGCGAAATGGTCTGTCAGCCTTTAGATTAGTATATTAGTGAGTATATTTCTTGATGAGTTTTTCATTTTTGATATTACCCCATTAAAGTAATTATATTAGTTTAATATTTCAAATCGTCATTGTATGTTCTTCCACAAAACCTAAGTTCCCATTGTGTTTAGATACACTCTTTATGATTTCTCATTCGTTAATGCAAGTAGGTAGTGTATGTTATACCATGTACGATGTGTACATGGTATAAGTATCACACTTGATCGGAAACTATAACCTTTCGCGCTCATATTGAAAAATCTTGCTGTAAGGCTCTGAAAACACTCAGCTTTATAAAAAGGGTCTCTATGGAATTTAATTTGATAACACCACTTAAGCTGTGCGCTCGTTAGATCTATTTTAGAGTATTCCGTTATTATTTGGGAGTTTGAGGGCTACTGCTAGTAGTAGGAGCCAGATAGGCAGGGTACAATGTACATTTTTAATTATGCTGCTAGGGTACTGTTGTACATTGACCACAGACCTCATGATTATTATATAATATTACTATATTTAGATATATTAATATATTATTATATTATTCTTTTATAATTGAAGTATTGTAAAAAAAATTATTATTAGGTGCCTACTTATGTAATAACGTGACAACGTTATATATATTATGACTGATAAGATAAGAAAATTTAATTATTTTAACAAGTTTTAAAAATGGATGAACAATTTTCATTCCTTCGATACCAGTTATAAATCTTCACTTTACTTATCAAAACGAGACAACATTTAACTTTTAAACAGGCGAATATCAAACGATTTGGGTATGGGCGCTTGCCCACCATGCCGGTACGCTAAAACTGTCACTGCTATAGACTGTTCTGCATTGCTAAGTCAACTTAATTTCAAAAGCTCTATAGCTTCCGATCTGCACTAACAACTTATCTTTTTTTTCATACCCTTTTGCACCACCAATTATTCCCGTAATAGACGGATGTTCAGGATGATGCGCACTGCAGCTAATGAGGACCCGTCGTTTTCTTTCTATTAATATTATTTAAACAACGTCTAGACTCTAGAGTTCACATTTTCTTGTGTATATATACATATTTTGTTCTGTACTTTTTGCCACGGCCCGGTTTGTTATAAAATAAATAAATAACCAATGTTCAAGACGTAATAGAATAAAATTAATAATCTCTTAATCGGGAGAGGTTCTAGGACTACATTTTCGTATGGGCAACAGTAGATTTATAATTAGGTTATAACTAAGAATAATATTCCTCATTTCCTCCCCCTTCTCCATTAAGTGGCACCAGAAATATTGGTATGTGCAGCTGCCCACCCTGCCCATACTCTAGAACCGCCACTGCTCTTAATAGTTTCATCACGGACTAAGATATACAGGACTGGAAACGACGGCGTTATCAATGGAACTAATGTACAACGCTAGTTGGTACAACGTCGATCTTAACGCCATCTAGGTACGTAAGTGCATTACATAATAATTTAATAATTAATTGTTAAATTATTAAATTGTAATTATTATTTATGGTGCCTAGTGCCTACTACCTAGTACCTATATAAAAAAAAATGTTTGAGTAGTTTGAGTAACATTTTAAACACTTTTAAAAATTATCTTTACAACACTACAAATGTCAAATTGCTAAGTTACATACTGACTAAAATTAATAGTAACTTGATTGTAAAATAGATCATAAATTGCATAAATAAAAAATTTAACATACATTTAAATCTCCTGGATAGTTGTTATATACACTTATTAAATCTGCAGCTGAAAAATGATTTTGACAAACATAATGAGCAATGGAACTTTTACCATTAGCTTTAGAGACAGCTTCGTTCCATGCTGTTAAAATATTAACTTTTTTTGGTGCTTTGAACAATGTACATTTAATTTTGTTTTTCAAAATATGGCATTGATCTACACTACAAAGCCTAGGCATTTTGGTAATTTATCTTAAATAATAAATAAATGTAATGTACCTACCACGAACTAAGATATACTAAGATATCTTAGTTCGTGGTACCTACTATTGAAATATTGGTAATAAAAAAGTACAACATAGAATGAATTTTAGATAGGATTCACAGAATAGACTAAAATAATCTTTTTATGTATGGTCAATACTTGCTCAGTACCTATTCTGTACTTAATTTAATAACATATACATACAAATAAAGTATAATATATCTTAGATTAAGTTGTTTAGTATAAAATATATTATACACATTCAAGAAACAAAATTAGATACAAGATGTGTATAACAAGTCTAAAGTTTATTATATATTTCATTATTTCATACAGTAACATAGGGATTATTTATAGGCTTAAAATAGTTGCCAATAGATGGCAGAGCGGTCGCGGTTGTACAGGCGTCAGAAAGGAACCGTTGTACATTTGGCCCAGACCCCGCACTCCGCCAGCTCATTCGTTTCCAGTCCTGTATATCTTAGTCCGTGGTTTCATTCATTCTCAATTATTATCAATATAATATAATAATAACATATAATTCTTAATATAATATTGTATTATATTATGTATTCGTTTAACATAACGGATAAACCATGCATAAAACATATACGATCTCTAAACCAATATGCAATTTAACTTAATTTTTAATTTATTTAATTGAATTTAATCTCCCATGACTGATCTGCACTGGATATTTAATTAATATATATTTTTAATTTTTATAATAACCAAAAGTATAATAATTGCTTTATTAAAAAAAAAAAATCCTAAGCCTATGGTAATTTCCCCACCCATCCCTCCACACCAAACACACACACATACACCTGCTACAGGTTGGTAAATCGTTATTGCAATTTATGCGTCACGGACGACGGTGTTAAAACCTCGACGTTTGTTATTATAAACGAAAACCGTCTCTTTAGCAGTCTCACGGCCATCGATATAATAGTACATACATATCGGTTTTAAAAATATGATAGGAATGCGATGTAACGCCGGAGGCCCGACAAAAGATATCCCAATAATGGTCGACGTTGTTTATTGTGGAAATTGCCAAGTGTACATGTTAGGATACGCGGTATACGGTCATGTTCGTTTACCGGAAACTATTGTTCTCGGAAAATAATTTTCCGAAAACAGCATACCCCCGTAATAACAATAATATGAATATTTATTTATTTGTTTATTTGTTTATTCATTACTAAATCACGCAGTTCTTTGTGCATTTCGCCGAGCGTTATAATGGCGCGGACAAATGTATTTTAAAATTTAAAGTCGTTTAATTTGTGACCGTTTGTTCGGAGTTTCCATTTTTAACTCCGGCGTTTCACTACGAACGAGCGACTTTTATTTTTAATTATTTCATACTTGTATACAAAATTATTAAAGTTAGTTCATAATACACATCATTATAATAATATTATGTTATACTCAATAATATTATTACGACCAGCTGTTAAAGTTAGTTTTTTTTGTCCATTAAAATTATTTTCCACCGTTCGAAAACACACTGAAAACCCGAATGTTTTTGTTGTATGAATTAAAAAATAAATCTACCGAAAAAAAAAAAAATTAGACAACCAAAAATAAACGTTCTTCAATAAATTTCCAGTAAATTAAATTATGCCACGAACAGCGCATAAGTAGTTTCCAGCTGATGCTTTTTCGGCAAATAAATTAAAAAGGATCAATTCACTTCAATACATCACGGCGAGAGTAAATTAATTTTGGAGTAGGTATATAGGCACAATACTACGATATTATTATATATTTAGTGAATGCCAATGCACACTATTAATATTTACACATATTATTTCGTTGGCATGCACTATAATATAATATGATGTATTATGTATATTATTCTCAAATTCTAAAACGTGTTGTAGAATTTAGTAGTTATTATAGTAATTATACCGAAATACCACTATACCTATATTGGTGTTGATTCTGATAAATCCCGTAATGTTGCACAGCGATTTGAATATTTGAGTTTTACAAAACAAAAACGATTCTTTTGCCAATAATATACGATATAAAACCAATTAAAAACAAAGATAAAACATTAAAATTAAATTTCTTGGAACCGTTATTGTGATTTTTATTGGCACTTGTGCATTTTATTATTTGATTTACGTTTATTACCGTGCATATTATACCAAAATATAAATATTGTTCATAAAATATTCATAAAATGTGTAGAATTTCTTTTAATCGAATCCCTTCGTCGGTATTTTTAATGTTTTATTTTAAAGAACTCTTATGAAATATACTTCTATAGAAATCATTTGAAATTCGATCTTATTAAAAAAGAAGAAAAAAAAAAGAGAAATAATAATAATAATAAAAGGTATATAGGTATGTTCAGCTACCACTCGCGTAAGAAGTAAAAAAAATAAATGTATAAGAATACGATTATTTTCATTCAATAAAAGTTTTGAACGCATTCACGATACACAATCACGAGATGGAGTTAAATCATAATATCGACTATTCGTAATATACCTATTAGTATAGTTATTATTATAATATCACGGCCGACTATAATGGAATACCTACGTTTCAACATACACAGTTTAACACTAACGACGATGTATATATAGTAACACTTGACTGGCGTGCCGTCTGTCATATCATAATAATATAATGGT